TCGTGCGTCGACCCTTCCTGATCGCGCAACCCCGAGCTTCCAATAATATGTAAAGAGAGCTGACTAAGATTTAGAAGAACATGAAATTTCCAAGATTTAGAGTGAAGATTAGAGAGGGAGCGCCTGCGTTCTGCATGATCGGGCGCGGCGTGGGGGACGTAACCCTTCTCCACGCATCGATCCGCGCATGCAAGTCGCGACTTACAAAATCTCAGCAAAAGAAGGAGAGGGGAGGGCGGGAGAGACAATGTGCGATTAGAAAGATACAGTTACGATGGCGCCCGCCCAAAATTACAGTTACACACACGATTAAGGGCGTCCACTAATCAAAGTACCGTTACAACCGCATGAAAAAGCGCGTAGACAAAAGGCGCAGTGCGGCAGGAAAAGCCCTAACTACTGAATTCCTAAATTCTTATCTAATGCGGAAAAGCAAAAAAAAGTCATACATTTCATAAAGAAAGTCCAAAATCCCGAGAGCCATCGGGGCTCGACAAAATTCGAAAAAGATTCAAGGAAAAAAAATCAAAAGAACGAAGCAATTTCCTTCGCGATGTCCACGCCCAAAAGATCGAACCCGAAGCGAAAGAAACGACGTCAACACTTATTAATTGCGCGCATTGTGGCGCGCCATACATCCATCCGACCAACCTCCCAACCGGCCGTCCCCGGACGCACCCAACCCCGAAGAAGCGACGAAAAAGACGAAGAAGCAAGGGTACTGATGCAATTTTCCACCGATCCCGATTTCCCGTAAGTGGCCCAATGTTCCCAGCTTAGGACCCCTTGTTGCAACCGCGCAGAAACTCGCGCGTTACAGAAAGTGGTTCGTCACATATATGACGCCCAGGGGTTCTAATATTAGCAAGCTCCAGCTTGCTTGTTGACACGTGTCGATTTCTCTAATCGATCGACACACGGAGCACTTCACTTTTATGCCACTTACGGTTCGATTGCGTCTGGACGTCATTCAACGTTGTCAGGCTGCCACAAGTATTGCGCCGCCTGAAAACGGCAGTTTAGGGGTTTAGGCGTAGGGTTAAGTCCGCGTTTTGACAGTGCTTTGGGATGACCGGGCTGCAGGAATTATGAGAACTCAGGGTACCCCTGATTCTGGACGCACTAGATTTTAAAAGTAACCCCCAAAGACAGCAAGATGGATGGGTGCACTGAGCACAACTAGAGACCGTCATTTC